TTACTATTATAATGAAACATACTGCACTAATTGCTTGCTAAACTAGTCAGATGCGTTTATTGACTACAATATTAATACAAATACTTTCTAATTTAAGGTATTAAATTTATATTAAAAATATAAAAATTTAAAATTATAATAAATAAATTAATATATATTGATATGTATATTGATCTAAATAGTATACTAATAATTTTTTTTACTGACCATCCTCGTCCAATGATTTGAAGTTCCTCTGAATGGGTTATGGAGAAGGAGAATCAATCGGGAATGGAGTTGAGTTAACTGACTTGGTTAGGAAGCACGAGTTAATGGGTATGAATTCAGAGACTCAGATTGATTTTCCGTAACATTATCATTTGCATACCTTTTTTCGTTTTGGATGAAATGTGAAAATTCATCTATCTAAATTAATAAAACTGTCGTTGTACAAACCAATAGCGAGAATAGCTGCTATACAAAAAGTAAAAATTGTTCAAGTAAGTTGTTTTTTTTTTTTTTTTTTGGTTAAATACTTTTTTTTTCCCACTAGGAAAAAGCTTATTTTTGATTTTTATATCGAAAAAATCTCTTTTTTAATTTTTATTGTTCACAAATTCGATCCATTTTTAATCATTCTGTTACGTTTTAACTGATCTGACAGGTTAATTAACGAAAAATTTTATTTATTTATTTATTTAAATTAGGTGAAAAATCCATTATGCAAAACTCGATGACATAGTCAAAGTTTTTTATTTTTAATTACCAATTTACCCTCTATCTTTTTCCTCCATCCTCTCCTTCCTTTGACCTTTTTTGTCTTTTTCTTTTCTTACCTTCAGGTGAATTTAGGAGCCTGGGTTCGTCGCGATGAACCCAGCTCGTGGGTTCATCGTGAACCCAAACGCCTGGGTTCATCACGAACCTACTTATGGAAACCTAATCACCATTCTTAGCATCGATGGAGGTGGAATCAGAGGGATTATTCCCGAAACTATACTGGCCTTTTTAGAGGCTCAACTTCAGGTACAAAATTTTGTAGTGTATATATTTGCACAAATATATAATGTTTACTTAATTATATGTTCTTTTTTTGTGAATTTACTTTGAGGAGAAACTGGATGGTGAGGAAGCAAGACTATTAGACTATTTCGATGTCATTGCCGGAACTAGCACCGGTGGCCTGGTGACTGCCATGTTAAGCAGACCAGATGAAAAGAACCGCCCTCTGTTTGCTGCTAAAGACATAAAGGACTTTTACCTTAAACGCTGCCCTAAAATCTTCCCTCAAGACAGGTAATAATCTTGAGGACCACACAGCTTAATTTTATTGCATCTTTGTTTTTCTTCATTTTTCTTTGTAATTCACATGAATATATTTTGTTCTTTTACACAACAGTAGTGCTCTGTTTGCTCCTGCTACAAATTTGGTGAGATCTTTATCAGGACCAAAATACGATGGAAAATACCTGCGTGAACTTGTCAGGGAAAAATTAGGAGAAAAAACACTAAGCCAGACTTTGACAAATGTTGTGATTTCGACCTTTGATATCAAAAACCTCCAGCTACTAGGTTGGATAACAGATAAATTATGGGTTATGGGTTCGCGATGAACCCAGGCTTTTGGGTTCGCGACAAACCCATGAGTTGGGTTCATCGTGACGAACCCAGGCTCCTAGGTTCGCCTGAAGGTAAGAAAAAAAAAAAAAGGCTGAAGGAAGGAGAGGATGGACGAAGAAGATGAGGTTAAATTGGTAATTAAAGATAAAAAATTTAGCTATGTCATCGAGTTTTGCCAGATGGATTTTTCACGTAATTTAAGTAAAGAAAAAAATAAAATTTTTCGTTAATTAACCTACCACATCGTCTAAAATTAACAGAAAGATTAAAAAGGGGTCGAATTTGTGAACAACAAAAACTAAAAAATGGATTTTTTCGGTATAAAGATTAAAAAAAGGTTTTTTCCTATAATAGAGAGGCAAAAAAGGTATTTAACTTTTTTTTTTTTTTTTGCGAGCATTTAAAACAAGAGTCATGAGAAAAATATGAAAGGAAGAACTGAAGAAAAGGTTGGATACGTCAAGTTAACAATCTGAAACATGAGTCACATAGAGGAATACGAGCCGTTCACCGACAACTTAATCCGTCAAATCAATAGTTGTCAAAATCATGAATAAAACTGTTGGAATAGGCCCAACAGGCCCAACACCCAAACAGGGCTGTGCATAACGGGTCTAGGTTACCACCCATTAGCCCAAGCTGAAGGAGCATCAGTACAAGCATACCCACGTGACCAGCGCCACATGGGCCAAGGGGGTGCTCACATGTGCAGATGTATGTTAGCACCAAGGGGTTATAAATACCCCCCCAACTACCTCCGATGAAGGTAATTAATCTCTACGCTTCTCTTTCTGCAATTACTCCTTGAGAGCATCTCTCTCTAGAATATTGAGTATTGTTGACTTAAGCGTCGGAGTGTTTTCCCCGAGGAAACAACCTCGGGATTTTTAGGTGTAGAAGCAACTAAGGATTTCAACAGTGTTGGACTGTGAAGCTGCCCAAACATTTGGCGCCGTCTGTGGGAACTGAACAAGAAGTTGTGTGACTTAACCTGCTGAAAGACAAAATGGTCCGTACCTTTACAGGAGGTCGCCCTCCAAGAAATGAAATGGACGAACAGAAGGACACTCACGTATCTGAGCCCGGCTTGAATGACTTTAGGCCAATGCCAAGAAATCTTTTTGTAAGGGGAGCCGAACAGGATCACCTAAGTGAAACGGATGATGATGAAAGAACACCAACAGGGTATGCAACCCAGCCTGAACAGTTCCAAGTTCCAACAGGAACAAGACAGAGACCTTCTAGACCATGCAATTCACAGCGTGAACGACCTGAAAGGTCAACAGAACTTGCTCGGACAACCGAGCTCGAAGAGAGAACCAGAGTTCTCGAAATGACAATGGGTAAAATCCTTGCCCGTCTAATTCCTGATGACCCCCTGATTCCTTTGCTGAACGAGGATGCACAACTAGCTGCAGTTGTTGCAACTCGAAACTCCCCCGCTCTAAGCAACATAGTGGTGCCGACCAGGCCAAGAGGAAGCGGGAAGCTAAACCTCGAGCCCAGCTCATCCAAGCATAATGAAGAATTGATGAGAAAGAACGCAGACCTTGAAAGGCAGCTGCGGGACGTACAGAAGTCCATTGACGAATTGAAAAGTCCCAGGTCGCACCAACAGACCTTGGATTTGGATAGTGCTCCGCTGAACCTATCCATCACAGCAGAACCATATCAAGACGGATTTAAAATTCCCCACCTGGAGACATATGATGGCTCGGGCGACCCGGATGAACATCTACACACCTATCAAGCCATCATGAGGATCCAAAATGCCAATGATGCCATGATGTGCAAAGTGTTCCCAGTGACACTGAAATCAACAGCCAGAAGATGGTATCACAAGCTCCCCAGACATTCCATAGACTCATACTCTCAGCTCGCCAAGCTATTCTCCAACAAATTCGCGAGCCAGAGAGAGATCAAACGCACAACAACCGAGCTGATGCAAGTTAATCAAAAGGAAGGGGAATCTCTGAGAGACTACATGCAGCGATTCAACAAAGCCACTCTGGACATTGACAACGTCCCAGACACCATTTGTTTGTCTGCATTGTTGCATGGCTTGAGGCGTGGTCGGTTTCTAGACGACCTGCTAGAGAACCCACCCAGGACTTGGAATGAAGTGAATGACAGGTCGGCTAGCTTCATATTATTAGAAGACTTCTAGTTGTCCAAGCGACGAGCTGACGATAAGCAAAGCAAAAGCCAGGAACAACCACCGAGAAGGGAAGAAAAGAAGAAACAGAAGGTCGGCGAGCAGTGGGGGAAGCCCGCTGACTTCCCAAAGTATGCCAAATACATTCCTTTAACCTTGCTGAGGTCTCAAATCCTTGCACAAATCCAGCACTGGGTTAGGAGACCCCCGCCTCCATTGCATGATTCACCAAGAGCAGATAAGAGCAAACATTGTGACTACCATCGTGTGTATGGCCACAATACAGAAGACTGCTAACACTTGAAGGACGAGCTGGAGTTTCTGGCTCGCAATGGAAAGCTAGAACGATATGTTCAGAAGCCCCACGCCCAACAACCCACTCAAACTCATTTTGTACAGGGTTACGACCGACCTCAAGGGCAGAGGTACCAGCTCGGCGGGGCACAGAATGTATATCAGGATAACTAGTATCCTTCTGACCAGGGGAGGGCATACAGAGGGCGTCCGTTCAACAGGAGAGGACAGGGGCAGAGAGCTGCTGCCCAGAACCAAAAAGATAAGAAAGGGATAAGCTACGCTGGGATACCCCCGCCCTCGGGTATAATAAACATGATATCAAGTGGTGTTCACTCTGGGGGCCAAAGCGCACGAGCTCGCAAGGCGTATGCCCAACAGGTGATGACTGTCAATAAAAACAAACCCTTGAAGCAACCGTTTGAGGAAGCATAATGGGAGAATACGCCTATCACATTCAGCCCGGCGGATTACAAGCGAGCAGAAGGAGAGCCTGACATTATGATGCCCCATGCAAATCCTTTTGTGGCAACGGTTCATATAGGCAATCATAATGTCAATAAGGTGTTGATTGGCACTGGCAATTCACCAGACATCCTGTACTGGAGTTGCTTCCAGAAGATGCAGCTAAATCCGAGCTCGCTGCAGAAGCATGAAGGACCAATATACGGGTTTGATAACCAGCCCGTCCCAGTCGAGGGAGTTATCACTCTTCCTATATATGTGGGCTCAGAACCACGCTTTAGGATGGCTTCCGTCACCTTCCTGGTCGTTAAGATGGAATCAGCTTTCAATGCTATATTAGGAAGAGCCACCTTGTGCGAGCTGAAAGCTGTCATCTCACAACCCCATCTCTGCATGAAATTCCCAACTCCTCAGGAGGTAGGAGTGCTTAAAGGAAATCAAAAGATGGCCAGAGCCTGCTATCAAGATACTTTCAAAAAAGTTGAGCTCGTCGCTGTCCCTTCAGGCTCCGAAAATCGCAAACCAACCCATCTCGGTCAGCAAACGATGAGCATATCAGATATCGAGCACCGACCTGATGGTGTCGAGCAGAAAGCAGAGCCAGTAGAGCCCATAGAAATGGTTCATCTAAACCTAGATGTGCCAGAAAGGACGGTTAAGATCGGCACTAAGCTCACAGAAGAGGAGCGTGCAGAGCTTCTGGAGTTTTTGAGGAGTAATCAGGATGTGTTTGCATGGACTACGGATGAAATGCCTGGCATCCCAGCGGAGTTGACAGTCCACAAGCTTAGCACGAACCCCCAGAAGGCCGGTGGTGCAAAAACGTCGCCTTTTTGGCCCCGAGAAGCAAGCTGCCATAGATGAAGAGATACAAAAGTTGCTACAGGCAGGCTTCATCAGAAGAGTGGAGTACTCCGAGTGGGTGTCCAACCCTGTGCTCGTCAAAAAGCCAAATGGCAAGTGGAGGATGTGTATTGATTTCACCAACCTCAATGATGCGTGTCCAAAAGACCCTTATCCCTTGCCAAACGTCGAGAAGTTAGTAGAACGGGCAGCAGGACATGAACGGATGAGTTTTCTTGACGCCAGATCGGGTTACCATCATGTCCATCTGTTGCTAGATGACCAGGAAAAAACAGCTTTTTATGCTGGTGACGCAATCTACTGCTATGTCATGATGCCGTTCGGCCTCAAAAATGCTGGAGCAACATACCAGAAGCTGGTGCAAATCATCTTTAAGCTCCAAATCGGCAGAAACATAGAAGTGTATGTAGATGACATGATAGTCACCAGTGTACGAGCTGAGGATCACATTGACGACCTGGATGAAACTTTTCAAAACTTACGTCGAGCCCAAATGAAGCTAAATCCTTTGAAATGCACGTTTGCTGTGCAATCAGGGAAATTCCTAGGGTACGTGGTATCCAAGAAAGGAATCGAAGTAAATCCAGAGAAGGTACAGGCCGTTCAGCAGATAGAACCTCCCAAGACAGTAAAAGATGTACAGCGTCTGACAGGTCGGGTGGCTACGTTGCACAGGTTTATAGCCAGATCGGCAGAAAGGTGCCTTCTGTTCTTCAAAGCTCTGCAGGAGCCCAAAAACTTTCAGTGGACTGATGAGTGTCAACAGGCGTTTGACGAGCTCAAACAATATTTGGCATCCGCACCCCTGCTGTCTAAGCCTGTTGATGGGGAATGTTTATATCTTTATCTGGGGGTCACAAAAGAAGCAGTGAGTTCAGTGCTACTGAGGGAAGAGAATAAGAATTAGAAGCCTATCTGCTGCGTGAGCAAGGTGTTACAAGGTGCCGAGCAGAACTACCCGCTAGCAGAAAAGGCTGCTTTTGCTTTGGTCTGCACAGCTCGTAAGCTGAGAGCTTATTTTTAGTCTCATCAAATTGTTGTTTATACTGATTTCCTGCTAATAAAAATATTACAGAAGCCAGAACTCTCTGGTCAGCTTATCGAATGGAGTGTCGAGCTGAGTGAGTATGACCTCAAATTTCAGCCGCGCATGACTATAAAGGGCCAAGCTGTGGCAGACTTCTTGGTTGAATCTGCCCCGGCGGCTGTGAAAGAAAAGGCACCTGAACACCCGTTCTGGGTTTTATATGTAGATGGAGCTGCTAATATTGAAGGATCGGGTGCTGGAGCTGTGTTACTGGGCCCTGATGGCTTTAAATCCGAGCATGCGCTGAGGTTTCAGTTCCAAACAACCAATAATGCTGTAGAGTATGAAGCCCTCATTTATGGATTGAAGCTGGCATCCGAGCTGAAGGTATAGAACATCCAAGTCTTTAGCGACTCTCAGCTCGTGGTAGGCCAGGTAAAAGGCAACTGTGAAATCAAGGATCCTCAGCTTGGTCGTTATACTTCTGTGGTCAACAAATTGAAGTCAGGATTTGCCTTCTTCCAGATCGACAAAATACCAAGAGTAGACAACCACCGAGCTGACAAGCTGTCAAAGTTGGCCTCCTCGCGAGACTTTAACCCTAAGAGGTCAACCATCGTTGAAGTGCTAGACGCCCCGAGCTACACTGATCTCACGGTCGAGTGTCAACTGCTAAGCACGGATCCCTCTACACCGAGCTGGACTACCCCACTTATAAATTATCTGCAAAGTGGCGAGCTGCTTGAAGATCTACCCGCCGCGAAATTGATTAAACGAAGGGCAGCACATTTCACCTTGTTAGATAACTAGCTCTACAAGCGAGCAGCCTCAATGCCCCTATTGCGCTGCCTTATTCCTTACGAAGCTGAATATGCAGTGAGAGAAGTTCACGAAGGAGTATGTGGCACGCACATCGGTGGCAAAACTTTAGCTCGAAAACTCCGAGGCATGGGTATTACTGGCCCACTATGGTCGAGGACGCGCAGAGTTATGTCAGAAAATGTCCGACCTGCCAGTTCAATGCTGATGATATACACATGCCAGGTATCTGAGCCTATTCTAAAGAACATGCAAACTCCGTGTTTGTCTATAAACTAAGCATAAGTATCTTCCTTACAACAGGGGAAATGCTATCATCTCTCACGTCTCCCTGGCCCTTTTCTCAATGGGGTGTCGACCTGCTTGGCCCTTTTATCAAATATAAAGGAGGCTACACTTTCCTGGTCGTTGCAGTGGATTACTTCACTAAGTGGATAGAAGCTAAATTGTTGTCCACGACAACAGAAAGGAAAATAGAAGAATTCTTGTTCAATTCAATATTGTGCAAGTATTCTTCGGTGACAGTGGTCATAAAATATATGCAAACGTGATTTGTAGCTCAGCTCGCTCATCTGTGTGCAGGTTCGGCATCCCTAAGTGGATTATTGCCGACAATGGGCCACAGTTCTGAGCAGCGGCGTTGAGATCGTTTTGTAACGATTATGGCATTGAGCTCGCCTTGACATACGTGTATACTTAGGGGGGTTAAATACCCTTTTTGGTCCCTCTACTATAGGAAAAAGCCCCTTTTTAGTCCCTATACCGAAAAAATCCCCTTTTTGATCCTTAAAGTTTGAAATCCGGCCCCTTTTTAGTCCTTCTGTCAGTTAAGTGACAGCATGTCACAATTATCCGTTAAATGTCTTTTTTTTTTCTTTTTAATGGTGACATGGGATTACACGTGGCAAAATTGATGAGGTGGCAATAAGATTTATTTTCCATGTAATCAATAAGTCATAAAATAATTTAAATAATTAAAAGAAAAAAATCATTGTTTCCCTTTATCTTTTCATTTTCCATTTCTATCCTCGTCTTCTTCCTAAGCCCAAATCCCCGATCCTCTCTACTTTTGCCTAAACTTAATCCCCCTCTAATCCCATTGATTTCTTCTTCTTCGCCAAATCTTCCTCCATCAAAGCCCTCAAATCTTCACTAATTTGCCC